CTAATCTGCATATGAGTTCTGAATTTGCATCCACTTAGGGAAAAGTTTTTTGTCTTGATTTTTGTGTGTGTGTGGATTCCTTAGAGACCGTCTCGACATGCTTTTTTTTGGGTTCTTGGCTTGTGCATAAAAACGCAGGCGAGTCTGATGCGCTTGGCCAGCTGTCAGGGGGTTTCAGACAGAAAGGAGAACAGGGACTCTGGCCAATCGCGCGCGCCGATGGGAGGTGTCACATGTCCAACTCGTGGAACTGAGCGCCTAATCCCGGGCTAAACTGTCCTCTGAATAACTCTTGCTGTTGGTTATTATATTTGCGCTGATCTGTTTATCACCTGATATCCTATTCGTTGCGGCAGAGGCATGCCTCTCTTCGGGACTTGAACCCGCGACATCCTGGCTGTGGCCTGGCCTAGCTGCCCAATCTCAGCCTGCGCCCAGCCTTCCAGAAAGCACCTCCCGCATCAGAGTGGTTCAGCCAGCACAGCTGAGCTCTATCTTAATTAGGATCTGCTCCTTGTCGTGTACTGTAAACCTGCTCTCAGTTTCCATCCTCCCAGCAATGCTCTTACCCCCTCCCCTCACCCTGGAGCTGCCTGGGGGCTGATGGTGTTGATGCCCCCCCCCTCGGTAATCGTGCCTCTCGTCCTAATGCTAATCAAATTGACAGGGTGCTGCCATTGATATCACTTAACACATTGATCAGCAGCAGAGATAGCGGGCAGACCCACAGACTGTATCTTTTTAGGGACTGTTGCTGTGTGACTGTTTGTTCAATAAAGCGTCGGGGGGGGGGGGGGCAGGGCTCCCTGCTCCCCATGTGCTGTTCCACCCATTTGCCTGGGTTTTTTATCGCGCCATAAGGGCACCGATTTCTAGGCGGCATTAGCAATTCACAGACAGAACGGGCCACGGCACTCAGCCTCGGCGTAACAAACAGCCCAGCGCCTTGGTAACTCGCGCGCGGGGGCCATTACACGGTGACACGGGTGGCAGTCGCCACGGCAGCAAAAGGTCATTTGTCGCTGTAGGTAAACGAAACTGAATTGTTTTTGCGGGAGCAGTAACTGAACGCAGAGGGTTTGGGAGACTCCGGCCTGACCAGCCAATCTTGTCGGTGGCTGTTCAGGACGTGCCTTTTTGGTGACCCTCGTGCTCGACCCTGTTCAGCAAGAAGTGATGCACCCCCTACCCCAGAAAAAAGTGCACCACACTGATACACACCAGTGACAGCAGTATTTTATAGTGATGAATGGCTCGTTTGGGAAAGCGGAATACCGCCGATGCCAAAACTGAGGAGACTGTACTAGGAAGGCGGAGTCTTGCCAGTTGTGGCAGTAATGGCGTTGAGAGAGACCCTACACCTGTCCCAGCTCTGTGGTTCCTTCTGAATCCCCTTGACCTGACCCAAGCCGACAGGACTTCCCCAAGCACAGTGGGTCAGATGAGAAGGCTCGCTTTTTGTGGGACATGTTAGCTAAGCCTCTGACTGCGCGGTCAGCGCGTCCGGCTGTGAATCTCTTTTGGGGCTGCAGAAAGCTCTGCTCTCAGCCCGGCCTCGCCCACAGCGCATGTAAACAAACGGATCCGAATTCGAGCTCCACGCTGCCTATAAGGACCTGGGGGGGGTTTCTGTGGCGTGGGACGGCCCAGCAAGGCTTGGCGAAGCGAACCGCATCGCTCCAGGACAGACCCGAACTTTGTTTTAGTCTTCCTTCTGCTTTTCTGGGGGTGGATGGACGTGGGAAGGAAGCAAAAAAAAGGTAGCTTTCCCGGGACCACAGATGTGAAATCGCTGTTTCGGCAGGATGGGGAAAATGAAAGACAGGCAATGTGTTAACATTCAGGTCAGACTGAACACCACGATATATACAGGGAGAACGGGGGACAGGTGAAACAAATCAAAACAAACTTTGCTGGTCACCTTGCTCTGCCTCCAGCAGTATTCTGTTTGAGTAAGACGCTACTTAATGCTCCCCTAAGAGTATTAGTGACATACCAGCATTCGGGGGGCATGAATTATGGCACCCTATCCTCAGCCCTGCCGCCATTCATACTGTGCTTCCTCTGGCGTCAGCCTGCGCCACACGGTACAGGGTGTCCCTGCTCTACAGTAGCATAACGATATGGTCACTAGACTGCCAGGCATGGGAATTCATAGCGTGTACCCAAGATAATATCCCCATTCCCAGAGGTCCTTTCTGCTATGTGCTTGAAGAGGGCGTTTAACCAGACTTCAGGAGTGATTGTCCAGATGTGTACACCAGGGCCAGTACCCTGCTGTGTAAATGCGTATGATATTAAACTAGAAGCCTTACAAGTGACTTTGGGTATGAGGAACTACTGGCAAGCCACGTAATGTAGAGTAATGTTAGCGCTTGCTAACGTCTTCAGATAGCCTTCATTAACTTTAGCGCCTGCTAACATCTTCAGGTTGCATTCATCAGCGTTAGTGCTTGCTAACATCTCCAGATAGCATCCATTAATGTTAGTGCTTGCTAACATTTCCCAATACCGTTCACTTAAATTTGCACTTGCTAAAATCTCCAGATAACATTCCTTAAGATTAGCGCTTGCTAACATCTCCAAATAGCCATCATTAACATTAGTGCTTGCTAAAATATCCAGATTGCCTTCCTTAACGTTAGCGCTTATTACCATCTCCAGCCTTCCCCTGAAGAAAAATCTCCTCCAAAGGTCTCGTGCTAATTTGCTGTAACTACATCCTAAAGGCTATGGCCCTGATTACTGTCCTTCACCTTCTGCTGAGAGAGGAACAACCCCCCAGACCTCCCTACAAATACAGGCTAGATTACGGCAAGCAGGTGCAAATGTGTCGCTGCGTGTTTACTTGGGAACGCCATGCAAGGGTTCTGCGGGGTGTTTCTGTTTTGATGAGAGGCAATATCCAAGCTAATGGGAAACAATAACGTTTATGGCCTGATAGCGACAGACACATTTGGAGTGACAGAAAACGTTAACCTGAGAAGGCAACAGCGGACGACACAATCTAAATTTTGATTTTTGCATACACATATCTTTAGACCTACGTATAAAAGGCGCCCAGCACCATCTGCTGTGAGGCGAACGCAGGTTTATTGTCATGTCTTCTTGAAATTTCAGCCACAGGAGGGCTGCAATTTTGGTATTTTAGCGTTAGATGTCATTTATTCAATGGGGCGGATGCTATTTTCCAGCATGACCGGGAGGGTAGGCGACTCAGGCCGGCACAAAGCCTCGACTCATTGGCCTCTAGCCTCAACTGTGTCGGCAGTGATGTCATCATTCAGCGCGGCCATGTTCGAGGAGCTCAGCTCTCTGAGTGGAGTAATGGCTGTACTTTTCAGTAACTGTCTCTGCCTGAGTAGACGGTGGAACAGGTGTCATTCGGGCGATGGGGGCCTTTGAACTGTCTTCATCGACCTTCCCAATCTGGATTTATGGATGTATGGTTTTTCAGTGTGTGTAGAAGCCACTTCCTGTCAGTACTCCCCCCCACCCACCCCTACCTGATCGCTTTCCCATCGAGCGCCCGAGGCCTTTTCCCCCAAGATCGTGCCATCACCCGATCCTCTCGCTCCACTGCTCTCAGCGTAGTGCTGGGGGTCTCACTGATGAGTCCCACCCCCCAGAGAGAAGAGTAACTGGGGCATCGGCTGCCCTCTCTGAGCCTGAGCGGCAGAACACCAGGTGAGGGGTGACCTCATAACCCCGTCCCATTGAAACCTGAACATAAATCTCCCAGCTAATTGCGCTTCCCAGTGCAGGGGGGGAAAAAAAAAAACTAATTCATACACAAATTTAATTACAAGTTTCTATTTGGGAGTCAAAATAAAGGTTAGAATGGCTTTCATCACCTTCTTCAAAGTGTTCAGAGGGCCATTCTGTAAATTAAAGGGGCGCGGGGTAATTAGAAGGCCGCTTTGGAAATATTAATGGCCTCGGCGTAACGACCGCTACGGTAAGCAGTCTCATTATAAGGTACATGACCAATCAGCACGAGCGTGTCTTTACCCCGTCAGCACATCGTGAGTAACATTGCTCTCGTCCGTCACATTTGCTCGTAATATGCTTGTCTTTAGCTTAGCTATCAATTTATTCTCCCTCTTATTGCTAATGGCAGCCCTTGGCCTCACGGAAGCTTCTGGCACGCAGTGCTGTGGATCTTGACCAGCCAGATCTGGTTTGTTATATCAAACTGACATAAAAATGGACGGATATTGTTCAGCATTTGAGAACAGAAGCCCTGTAGGCTAACAGCAATGCCAAATGACTCATTAAAAAAAAAATTGGTGTACATAGTACATTTGTGTGCATCGTCAGTAAATATATCCTCTGAGTTTGTTGTGCAAATGTCTATTTAAAAAGCGCCACAATTATGTTAATCGGCATGATCAAACAATAATAATGTCAATCACATTTAATAAATGATTGACAATATTACCATCAAGTATAATGCTAAATGTGATATTGAGATAACTCCATTATTCATGAGATTAGATTTATTACCAATCAGAATGGTAATTACAAGATAATTTCGTACACGATTAAAATGCTTGTCTTCACGGAGTGATGCATGTCTTTGGAGCGCCGTGAAAATCAGTCTGTGAACTGCTGTAATTGTGAAGCATGTTTTTATTTAGTTATTTATTTTATTAATCGCATCGCCTTAGTGACAGTCCTTACTGCAGCACTTAAAAAATACTCATTAGCACTGAAATCCTACTCCCACGGTGAGCCAGTTGATAGATCACCTTCTTTTACTGTTGTATCATTTAAGCAAAGAATATACCACTAAACCACACACACGCACGCCAAGATAAGCCAGGACCGTATTCATTACTTTCATTCCTTCACAGTTATTTAGCATCTGGAGCCTGGGTTTCGCCGGAGGCGATATGGACACCGCTTTCTGGATCACGTACATGTGTGTGACCCGTGTGGGCAGCAATGGTGCCCGTGTGGGTCAGCGTGTGACATTGCTTCTCTCTCTGTCCCAATAGACGGGCCGGAAGGAGAAGGGCGACCCTCTGAACACCGCCATAGACAAGATGACGAAGAAGACACGGGACCTTCGCAGACAGGTGTGTCCACGTCCTCTGACTAACAGACAGCCTGCTGACTTGCAGTATACAGATGTAGAATGGCACTATAATCTTGCTACAGTAATGTTTGGTATATACGTGCAGTTTAATTCCAGGAACCAGGAGCTACTGGAGATTTCTGAACATTAAAAGGTGGTAGCATTGATAAATTTGCCTTCAAAACCCACGTCAGGTTGGATCATCGTTCTTTAATATTGCTAACTGGCTTAACCCCTGAGTTTATCCATATTTCACAATGGGATAAACTGGGCAAATGGTTAATCCAGCCTATATAATTTGTTTATACTTTCAGTGGGTGTTGGTTTACCATATAGAAGAAAGTACTTGGAACCGTTCTTCCTGAAGACGTCTTGTTGGTTTTGCCACGGACTTGAAATTCCTGATTAGCGGGTGCTCTTAGCATGCTAATATTAGCATGCTATCGGTGTGAAAAGCCAGTAGCTGGATCCCCTCCTCGGAGCTTGAGACTAATCTGATGCTTAATTACGGCGCTAATGATGCTGCTTGCTTGGCAAACTTGTTTTCTCACGCTTAAAAATCTCTCATGTCTGACAATGTAAGTCAGACTTCCTTGACTGCTTTTGTTCTATTATTAATGTGGCGATGTTGTCCGTAGGGCCGGAAATACAGGAGGAGAAGCAATGTAATGTAATGAAATTGAAGTTAACTACAGCTAAACAGCTCCATCTCCCTGGAAGCTCGAGGCTGCATTCACTGGCACTTCTCTCCAGTGTATGTTTACCGGTCAGGGCACCATCCACTAAAGGACAGATTACATTGACCCAATGCAGTTAGAGATGAAGACAAACAGCACTGTCACACACATGCAAAAGCAGCTCCAGCTCCCTGAAAGTGCTGGGTAAACTCACATTTGATATTCCCATCATCCTCCAGTGAATACTTTCCACTGTGTTCTTTGGGGTCGGCGCAGCCCTGGTCGTGATCGCCAGCGTGTCTCCTTTTCAACTTGCGAAGGGTGACATCCGCGTGGGGACACATACTTTCTGGAAGAACGGACTTGGCCTGTGACGTAGTTCCCGTTAATGGAAGAGCCGGCAAACATTCCTCTGTTCTTCGCCCCCGCAGATTGTCGTCGTTCCGAAATCTACTCAAGGCAAACACGGAGTCATATCGGGCAGCGGCCTGTTTGTCTTCGCAGGTGCCCACCTCTTCTGTTACGCCAAAACCAGAGTCTCGCCAGCCTCAAGTTAACCCAACACATCGCCACATCTCTGTAGCTGGTTCGGTTTAGCGTCACGTTTTTCTTCTAACTCTTCCCGGTGTTTGACGGTGTTCCATATTTAAGGCTGCTTAATATACACAAGATGGAAACTGAGCCATATGAGGATTTGTGAATGGATCACTGGGAGGGGGGTTAATGTAAGAGGCTTGAATTTGAAATAATTGAAGGCGAGCGCTAACATAGATCAATCCCTGCAAGCCACAGCTGCGAGATCCATCACCCCCACCGCTGATGTCGCCCTTGGTGGCCAGCCCTTGTTCCCCTGGGAGCGGGGCCAAGGCAGGCAGTCCGGCATCATTGGGGTTTGTTTTTTTTTGAGCCAAACCAGCATCCGCTCCCTAAGAACGGTAGTTGTCGTGCACTCACTGTCGGGAATCGCAGACTCTAACCTGAACACCCCAGTCGTCACGCCCTATAGGCACATGTTGTTCTGTGACCTGGCTCCAGAATGTAATAGCAAGACAATGAAAAGTACCGTGTGACATCGGGATGGGAGAAAGGGTGAACTTCAGAGGGCAGAGAAAACATGGGGGAGGGAAACAGAAGGTGGCCATCTTGGTGTCGGCACAACAGGGTGTTGGAACGACCAAACCAGGGAGGATTGGGATTCAGGCTGTGCGTATTTGATCTGGGCAAGAGGCGACAGAAAGCAGTTCTTACATAATCAATCTCAAGCACAGGATTCATCGACACGGATTTCATCACATCTCCAGAGCCAAACCAGTTTGACCGGCGTTTGTAAAGCGCTAACCGGACTCGGCATGTGTACTGTTTATGAATTCTAGAGTCGGGGGCTGTTTTAATCCTCCGTCAACGTTTATTTCATTATCTACCGGAGTATAAAATTCAACGAGACGCTTATTGAGCAGGTTCTTGGGTTTTATGGTACTGTAAAGTGGTTAAAAAGGAAATGAAAAGCATTTAATGACCTTGATTTACTCCTCTGCGGACTTAATTTCTCCAGTAATTCGGACCGTCGCTTCGGATCCATTTCCAGGTCAGTGTTTCCGGGGCACTTGTGTCATCTTGCGTTCCAGGCCGTTTAGCTTTTAAAGCGCTGATAGCACACGTCTCCTAACCACCTGAATGGATGCCGGCATTCATAGCTTTATTTCAGATACATCTTATTTTTTGTATTTTTTGAGTTCCTTTACGTGTTACATTTCTTTAGTCTGATGCTCTTATTTATGGGAACATGGTTATCATGGTAAAAGTGGACAGTATGACAACATTTTTAGACCCCAGATGCAGCTCGGCGACACAAACTGCTCATCTTTCCTTACTAGTGTTGAGGAAACTCCTTCAGCAACCATCTGTGAGAGTTTGTGGGCCCCACCCGTTCCCATGTGGTTGCTTAATTAAAATTTACGTGCCCAATAAATGTCAGTGAACTTATTTATACCTACTTCAGTGCCAATCCTGAAGCTTACTGGAGTCTTACATGGGCTTTAAAAATAGCTGGTTTGTACTGTAGTGGACCATCTGACAGTGGACGCAATTAAAACATGTGTCATATTAAAATGAAAAAATATTGCATTTAATTTCTTGCCCTGGGAAAATAATTAGAGCCAGTTTGAGTATTTGCAGTCTAGCCCAACTGAACGAAAGTAATTCAAGGGATGAAAATATTCAACAATGGGGACAGGAGGACAGCTGGGTAGATGGAAGTTTCCGGAATTAAAACTTTTGCACCAGTTTTGAAACAGAGCCTGTCAAACTGAATAAAAACATGGCATATATCAGAGCAGCGAAAAATAATCCAAGACCATTGTAGTGACATTGTTGCAATAATTTGCAGTTATTATTGTCATTGTTGGTATTATATACATTTCATATGCTTAAAAAGTGCATAATAAATTTGCAACTGTGAAAAGTGTTATTTGCCAGTGAAGTGTTTCAGTTTAAAATTCGCAGGAGGGCTATTGATTTGCACGCATCAAACTGCACGACTGACATTCCTGGCTACGCTGACGAGTGGGAACTTTAATTAAAACACATGGAGAGAGTCACTCTCGCCTGCTGCTCTGCGCGTAGGTGCATCGGTTGCGCTGTTTGGCACAATGCTCGGCGCAAACCCATTAACACAAAGACAGAATGATTAACCAGCCAGTCCGCTCTGGGTTTCGTGGGATGCTTTTTTTCAATAATTATTATTATTCTAGTTTTTTTTTTGTTCCCTGAAGCTCGATGGTTACAAACTATTATCACGCTGGATCTGGGAGACATGGAAAATAAAGGCAGACACTCAAGGGGTGGATCATCACCCGCCATCTCTCTTTCAAACCGCTGCCCTTCTTCATCTCTGTCACACATGACGCGTAATTGTATGTTAATCCAGTGACTAATTTCTAGCTATTTTAATTTGCGTTAATTATTAGGTGTCGGCGTGTTTTCGAAACGATTGCTGCCGTCAGACGCTTCAAGTTTCTTTCGTGTTTTTAAATTTTATTTTGTTTTTTAGAATGTTGTTTTAGTTTTACCTTAATGCCGCCATTTGTCAGGACTGACCCAGAGTTTTGACAAGCTACTGTTCACCAGGCCTACTCACAACTCCTTGATGAGATTTTTTTTTGGTTGTGGGGTTGCGGACAGAGGTATAAATGCCCCGTGATGATGACGGGGGTAAGACGTCAGTTAGGAGAGGCATTGAAATAGCTCTTCCAGCAGAAGAAGACTAATTGGGAGGAATTGGCTGAAGAGGCTGAGCTAATATCCTTCGGAGTCTTGGCGCGAATGCTCTCCCAAATACGGATCCGCCCCCACACCAGCCCGTCAGGGTCCTCCAGACCGTCCATACAGCCCGTGCTCATGGTCGCCTTCATGTAATGTGTTCATTAACCCCTGGCTTAATTACGTCAGCTTGGTGTCCAAAATGCATATGGAATTGCACATTCTGCTTAGCAGCTTGTGTGTTTTTCTGCTTTCTCCCCGCCTCCCTCTCTTTGTGCGACTTCGTTAAGCATAATTAAGGTCAAAGTGGCTTGTGACAACGCTGTGGTGCAGAGGTCTTGAACGTTCACCGCTGGACGTGCAGCATCTGTCGCCCCCGGTCCCTTGCTCTATGCCTAGAGGATTTAAAAAATAAAGTGCTACTATTATTAAAGTGTTAAGTCAACGTATAAATATCTTAAGAATAAAATGTTATGTGTTTCCAAAATCATGATAAGAAGGACCAAAGTTTCTGCAAAATATTATTGCAATATGATTCTCGGAATTGTTATTTTGAACAAGAAAACACAGTAACACTTAAGGCCATGTTCTTAGTAATTTATAAGCACATTCATAACAAATAATAATGCATTCATAAAGCATTATAAACATGGTTATAAATATTTCTCAAAAGACATTATGAATTATGCATATGACATTATGCATTATGAATGCTTTATAAAGCTCTCATCTATAATGCACTATAGAAACCTATATAAGGCATTATAATTGTTGGTATAAGCATCTAGGATGCTTTGTACTGCATTATGAAGCTATCTATAGTGCATTATAGATGAAAGCTTCATAAGGCATTCATAATGCATAATAAACATGGCTGTGATGTGTTATGCCTTTATATAAATAGTTTTAGCCATGCTTTATGAATGTATTATAATGCATTATGAATGTGCTTATAAATTACTAAGAACAAGGCCTTAAGTAAAGTGTTACCGTAAACACTTAAGCCTGAGTTACGCTAGGCGGATGCCATTTTTCCTCGTGTTAGCATTCCGTGAGCATGAGGGGGACAGGTGAACTCCAGGATCACCCTTGTGTCAGTTCTAAGTTACCAGTCTACCAAACTGATATCTTTGGCCTTTGATGTGGGGGCCTGGATTCTGTGATTCCCCATGTGCACCTTAACATTACACCCGCACACAAACCCACAGGGGAATCCTGAAAGCCCCAGGTGAGACAGAGTGCTCGAACCCTGGGCCTTCCTACAGATGCCGACGTCATGCAGGGCGGCATCCCCCACTACCCGTGTGAAGCCGAAAACCGGAATGAGGGGAGATTTCGGAACCACGCTTCCTTATGACATAATAGGATCTCCCTCCATTTAATGGAATGTTTTTTTCATATATTCATTTCATTCACTTTAAAGCAAACAGATGTCGCAGAGACAGATTTGCCCGGGTGCCCGCAGGGCTCCGTGATCTGCCCAAGATGCTTCTGAGCCTGATGTTGACGGTTGACGGGTTTGACGCTCCGTGTCCTGTTAAGAGCCGAGTGGCAGGCAGGTGACAGTATCTCCAGACATCTGTTTCTGTGTTTCAAGCAGGTGTTTCATTTCAGATAGATAGATAGAAAGGCAGAAGGAAAGAAGAAACAATTCTTTACCCTTAAAATCAAATTTGCAAAATATTTCCTAATCTCATTTTTGGAGATCGGGAAAGTCCTTCAATTACCTGCAGGATAATGGTTCTGTCGCCTTCGACTAAGTGCGACGCGCAAACAGACGTGACTGTGTCACTGAGCTGTTTTGTTTGCATAATAATTATTCCCTAATAGTCCTACACTCACGCATTCTTGTTGCATGAACTCACCATCTGGATTACAATTAGAAAGCTAAATAAGTAAATAAATTAACGAGTGGGAAAAAAAACGGACCTTATTGGCAGATTGGATTGGATGTTGTGAGTGTCTCAAAAGCAATTTAAGAGGAGTCCCCCCTCCCCATCTTCTAATCAGTGTTTCTGTTTGGCAAACCGCTATTTGCAGTGGCGGAGAGGGGTTTGGGCTCTTAGGGAGCGGAGGTAAGTCATATTACGGCGTTTGGGCTGTGCAGATTGCCACGGAGGCTCTTTGGCCTGCGCAGCGCGCCAGACGAAACGCCGGCACGTGTGGGTGCTTGAGGAGGCGGGGGGTGGCTCCACACTGCGTGCCGCCTTCCTGCTCCTCAACGACTCTGCAGTCTAACTCCAATTAGGTTTGTTCTGGAAAGTTCCGTCTTACACAAAATGCTTTGTTGTAATTGAGAAAATGGGCCGCATGATTTTTTTGTAATTGATCAGAGCAGCTAACATTAAAATATAGTTTGTTAAACTCACAGCATAAAGATTCCTGCAGTAAATTTTGATTTACTTTTATAAATCGCTAATAGAGACTGTAAGAAGGTAAACACATAGTGTTACTGTGTATTGTTATATTCAGTTTGTGATGAAATAACTGTCTCCTGAAATCTGGGTCAATAAACTAGTCTGGTAGCCTTTGGTTAGTCATAAAAGGTGATCTCCGCGGTGCGGTTGACTGGCAGGTAATTATTACAGGTTAGGAACGGTTACCCTTCAGTCATCCATTATTTCCTCATCCTCCTGTCTGTCGGCTTTTTTTCTAATAGCAACAGGGAAATCTTAACGTAACGTCTCGTAGTGCATTAGCGGGAGCTAGAATGCAGCCGCTCCCACGGACGCCGTTGACTCAGACTGCAGCAGGGCGATTGAGCCCCCGCCTCTTGACGACTTGAAAAGGCCGCGTGAGACTCGCACCGGGGTGGGACGCCGGACAGAACGACATGATGCGTGGGCCGGTTGGGGACGTCAAACGGCAGGTTTTAGGATGGGCGAAGACGGGGTTTGGGCTGTGGCATCAGGGTCTGGGCCAAGATGGAATGTAGAAGCTAGTTTTGTATTACAGGTAGTAAGGCACAGCAAATGAATGGGCTCGTCGCTTGACCCCTCCTCACCGTGGAACGTCTAGCCCCTCCCCCCTGCCTATTCTCCCTTGTGGTCAGTGTCTGGTGAGTTAGGTCTCCTGCGTTGATGAAACGCAGCCAGGCTGTTGCTCCGCTAACCTATAACCATAAACGTTGAAAGGAACCTTTCCCTAGAGACAGGGCGATACCAATTTTAATCCTGGCCTGATCAGTTTGGGCCAAGGCAATGTATCTGTATCTGTAAATGTAATGTATGTTAATATATGTAAGAATGGCCCGTAAATTTTAGGTCAGGTTTGATGAGGGGCCAAGTTTGTGAAACAGCCTCAGCTTAGGGTTCAGTAAACGTTTAGCCTCTTGCTGGCCAATAAAGACGGGTTTGTTTATCATGCGGTTAAACGAGCTTCATGAGGCGATCTCTGTTTGCAGATGGAGTACGCTGGTGATACTATGCAGGGATGGGTTTTGGGTCTGTTAACCCCCACATTCTCTGCTTCCTTTGCAGCTGCGGAAGGCGGTGATGGATCACATCTCAGACTCCTTCCTGGAGACCAACGTTCCACTGCTGGTCCTCATCGAGGCAGCCAAGAGTGGCAATGAGAAGGAGGTCAAGGAGTATGCGCAGGTGTTCCGCGAGCATGCCAACAAGTTGGTGGAGGTAGGATATTAGCATTGTGATATGAATATCTGTGTTTGAGATGGTATGAGAGGTTTTCTGTCTTTGGGTGCTATTCTTTGGGTGTGTGGTTTTATTTTGAACGCTCTCTGGTTTGGCCTTATTTTGGTTGCACCTCCACCTGAGGTTTCCTGCTCAGTCTAATCGTTTTAAGCTCCTTCTTTACCATCTCCATCCAGTCGGACTCCCACCCATTTGGCAAATCAGCTCCCCATCCTTTGGTCTTCTTCAGTCTGATGGTACCCTGTCCCCACTCTGGGCGTGAGGCCTCTGCCTGTGATGAGACATCGCATTTGCTTTGCATTTCATTTGCTAAATGCTTAGCGCTTACCCAAGAGTGATGTGGCAGACAGCTAAAAATGGAGGCAGTGGAGTCCGCCATTCCTGTGCTTTGCGAGCGGTTGAGCGGCTCCAATTGAGTGGCAGCCGCAACGTTCCTGTGGAGTCTCGTGTCATCGTGTAGCGAGTAGCATCACGTGGGCGTAGGAGGGTTTGCTTGTGGCCTGGGAGCAAAAGCGCAGGCACGTAGGCAAGACAGGGCTTTGTTCTTCTTTTTAACGAAAACTCGGAGCTCCGAAACCGCAAATCATCGCTGAATAATTAATTTGCATCCTTTGCCGCTTGATCAGTTCAGATTTTGGAATAACCTAAATGTTGTTTATGGCGGTGTTGTTTTTGTACATGTATTCAAAGGGCTTAAACCGTTTCATAGATGCGATGAACTTTATTGATCTGAGGGGGAAATTCTGATGCAGACTGGAGCAAGGTACATTAAGTGCAGACAGATATGCATATATTGCAAGACAAGACAAAGTGAAAGAACACGTAGAGCAGACAAGTAACTAGTGAAAATTAAAAAAAAAATGTACACAGGACACAAACAGATAATTCTAAAAAGGAATGCTAAGAAAATATATAAATAATATGGCAGTGGAGGCTTGATGGTTAGGGAAGCGCACTTGTAATTGAAAGATTGCAGGTTCGAATCCCCGACCAGCAAGGCACCGCTGAGGTACCCTGAGCAAGGTACCGTCCCCAAGCACTGCTCCCCGGGCGCTGAATTAGCTGCCCCCTGCTATGTCACATTGTCACATATGGGTTAAATGCAGAGGACACATTTCGTTGTTGCGCACTGTGTGCTGTGGTGTGTTAACAATGACCACTGATCACCAAATTAATACAAATAATAATAATAATAATTAAATTAAATTAATAGATGGTATGTGTGTAGTCATGTCTGCAGACAGATAGCACCTGAATTATACTTATGGAAAGATCCTGACACATCATGACTGGGGGTGATGGTGTCACATGACAGGGGGAGATAGCAGGTTCCCTGGACAAAAATGGAAGTCAACATATAGACTCTGTGTACACATGCATTCAGGGGGGACCCTTCATCTCAAAAATATCCTGGCTCGGGAGTGCCGGTTTATTGGCGGTATAGTGGGAGAGCCTCCAGTGAAGTTATGATACGGTTTTTATGACATGATTTCACGATCCCTGCAAGAGCAGCAGCCAATTTGGCTGGAGGTCAGTAGCACCTCACGGGTCAAGAAAACCCATATTTGGCCAGGGAACCAGTGGGGGTGCCATTTCTGGGGCTTCTGAGCAGTCCTTTGGGTCGTGGGGAGAGGGCAGGGTCTAGGACGGTGACCGCCGCGGGGCCGTGCTCCGTTGTTCCTACCCTACGCATGAATGGACTCGCTGCCCTGCCCTGGTTCTCCCGGACCTGCAAGCACACTCGGGTCAAGATGACTTTGCTCGGTTTGTTTGTCCCACTCTGCGGCCCTCGGATTTCGGGCCTCTCTTGCGCAGGCCGGTGCGGCGGGCTTCTTCAGCAGGGCCGCAGGTTTTCTCTTTCGATTCTCTTTATTGCCGCCTGATGGGGGTGAGGAAGCCGCTAATTACCGAAGAGATTACTTTATAGGCTTGGAGAAGATAGCTAGGCAGAAAATCAACGGGCCGGCCACCGTACCGCTCAGGAGGAAAATATTTACGGCGCCATCCGGATGACCTTAATTAGCGGAAGTCGGATTGGAACTGCAGGCTCCCGCATGCCATCCGGATATCCATCATCTGCCTATGATATCCCATAAAAGGACAGCCCCTCGGCAACGTGGCCCTTCTCCAAATACTCCTCGTCACGCTTCTGACATTGAGCCGTTCCTCCCAGCGGCTCTGCTCTGGGGAGATGTTAGGAATAGCTTCCTGTCTTGAAGGAAATTCAGGGCTACCGACACTGGCTTGGAACCTCTAGGAGTAGCGGTTCTTCAGACAGGTGTTCCAGCCACACTTTTATCTTTTATTCCTCATTAAACAGTTTAGTTGTCATTGTCTTATTGATTAAATATGTTTTGTATAAACTCCAGAGGAATTTTTATAAAGGTTCTGAGACTCTGAAATGTGTTATAACAGTTTGGCAGTGACGTTCAGCAAAAAATTTCTCCTGCATTTTAAACTACACATTTCATCTGAATTAACAGACACTTTTTTTCGTCTGCATGTTTTCATTGCATTCAGTAGTCTTCTTATTCTGGAATACCTTTCACGTCCATTTTTTCTCCTCATCTTTGGGGCCTGTCTGCCCCCAGATGCTGTGAATAAATGCCCCCACCCCCATGGCTCCTAATGTTAATCTTAAAAACTTGAATTCCAAACGTTGCACTTTAAACTATTAGAGAAAATTATTTGGTGGAAACGTCAGGGCAATTTTCATGGAAATTATTTTAAGAGAAAACAGCATGCCGGCACGAATGATCAGTTTTTAATTCTGTATTAGTAGGTGTCCCACAGAGCTCTGTTTCCGGGTTCCTATTTTCTGTCCTTTTTTCTTCCCTGGGGTGTAAAGCGTTTATTTTCTGTCCATTTTCTAGGGAAATCAAAGTCCTGCAGGTTCTGTGGAGTTCGTCGTTAGTATTGGGCCAGTCTTAGGGTAATGCTCCAGACTCTCTCTGCATCTTGGTGGGAAGGAAAATGTTGCTAACAGAGACAGATCCTCAAAGAAAATAAGGAGAGACGTTTGGCTGGCATTTTGCGTCTGGTCTGCGTTTTCGAAGGGCTTTAAAGCGATTCTCGTGGAATGGCATGGCGGGTGTGTGTGGGGGGGGGGTGTTCTCTTCGTCCACCACCTGCTCTCACTTTGATTCAGTTATCAGTCCCGAAATAAGTGGCGACACTTGTGAAATTTTGATTGATGTCTCTAGCTGACGCCTAAACAAGTTACACAAATAAGTCAATTTATTCTTCTGAAATGCCACCTTACAGCTTATGAAAAAGAAACTTGCATCTGTTCATTAATAAACTATAATATATAACAGTGGCAATGAGCTTACTCAGAATAGTACTCTGAATGAAAAAACGAATAAAATAAATACACTAAATAAATACTGCCAAAGCTTATGCTAGAGCGCTAGCGATTTGTACATAACGGATATCGACCTGGCCTTCGGGCTGCCTGACAGTGGTCCAGGCAGGGCAGTAAATATCTCCCTGTGGTGAGTGCATTACGGAGTGTTCTGGAACATGGGCGATGGATGGATTGCTGTTGGAACAAGTCTATTTGTAATGACCCAGACCTCTGAGCTGACTGGTCCCTTCTCACCAGAGTTATGAGTCTCCGAGGAAATCGCATGTGCTGGAGGTTTTGGAGGGGGTGGGGCTTTGATACATTATGTCCCCTCACCCCAAAGGACGGTTTTAGTTCTTGTTATGCTAACGGGAATAATTGGAAGCATGTCACGAGGAGCAGTGACCTTTGAAGTGGGGTTTTATTTTTATCCATGCTAATGGGTACGTTGGAAAAGCGCAGAGATAACGCTTTTTCCGGACACGTAGACGCGTCTTTCGCGGAGACGTCAGAGAGCTCCGGGCGGGAGCCCTCTCATCGTGGAGGTGTGTGTGACGGTGCTTTATGGTGATTGCTGTGTGATGTAGCACAGGTGGGTCGATACAGCTTAGGATTTGCTAATAATTTGTGTGTCAAGCGAGCCAGAGATGTCTTCTGGTGTTTTATTTTTTGAACACCGGGTAAAAAAATTATACGTTGCCTAATTTTATATAAACTTACGAAAGATGATCGGCTGTGAAGTACTCGACAATCCGAGATGATGACGAAGATCAGTTTAGCAGATATGCTGGCATTGCTGACTAGACTCAGACTCAGAGCCTGCCCATTCCCACAGTCCATCTTAAGCCTTTTATCATCCAGTATGCTGACGGTTAGCCGTTAAAGCCCGATCTGTGTACTCTGAGCGAGGCCTGTTCAGCCATGTTTACTGAGGCGGCCGCTTCGACACCTGCTGCCAGAGCATGATCCGGCGCTCCCCCAAGGCATGATGGGAAGCGCTGTTCCTTTTATGGAAGACCCCTTTCTGTTGCCGCAGTACTTTTTTTTTGGCAGCAGGTGTCAGAACACGAGAACAGTGCCGCTTATTTGACAGGTTGCTTCTGAAATAGCCATGTGTGAGAATGACAGGGAATGAAAGAGATGCGTAGCGTCCTCTTTGAGAGCTCGCCCGTTTTCCCGGCATGCTCAGCGGCACAGCTCCAGTCCGTGGTCTCCGTGGTTATTTTTTACATTATATATGACCAGGGAGGTCTGAAGTGGTGTCTGGCGATGGGGATGATGTCCCGTAGCGATCGGTGGTGGCGGTACTGCAAATAGAGCTGTTGATCAAGCGGGAATCGAATGAATGTCAGTTGTGCAAAGGCCCTCAGGTAATCTCCTGGATAATCAAGTGAGGGGGCTGTTTTGGGAGTGCAGGTCGGCGTTAGTGGGCCGTCCTTTTAACGGGACAACCGTCCCTTATGACATTCCGGAGCGTCCACGGGAGGAGCGGCAGGTCACAGTGATTTTCCTCGCATCGGGATGCGCGGAGCTGGAGGAGGCCGGCGTGCGCCTTCCGTCCCCCGCGTCGATGCGTAATTAAACACGGAGCCGCACGGCTAGGGATCGGCATGTGACGCGGTATCGTGCATGG